AACTTCCCATTGCCCGCTCCTCCTGAACAGAAGTTCTGAACAACAGGTGGGCGGGGCTTCTGTTCTCACATTCAGATCTGTGTACCCAAGATGACCATATAAGAGATCCCTGGTCTCCTTTACAAAACCAATAGTAGAAAAAACTTTACTTATTACTCCACTAAACTCATTACTTAACATAATCATGTTTTCTTTGAACATCAACCCCTGCAACAGAAAAATATTTAAAAAAAAGTTTCTGTCATATATGGTCAATCTATTGTAAAGTTGCCGAATTGTAATAATGACTTTGTCCTGTGCTCTTGGTTGGGTCTGTCTTGAAAAAGGTTTTAATCTCAGGCAGACTTCTATTTGGTTAAATTAAAGGAAAATTGAATTATACTCAGTATGGGACACTCCTTGTTCAGTACAGTGAAACTCAGAGTAAATATCAAATTTGAGCAGTAAGCATATGCAAAAACAAAGGGATTTTTTCCTGATGTAGATGCACTTATGTTGGGAACCAATTGAATCACAAGATAATCACGTAAATCACAACATATCCTGTATGCACAGTGCTTCTGACAGTCGACAGCAGCACAATTACACTGGCCAAAAGACACAAACAGAAGTTTTACTTGCATTAATGGACACACCCAAAGAAATCCACTTAACATGTAATATAATTACAATGAAACCCATATATGCTAGCCTACCACACATATACTGTATATTAGTATCGACAGATATGCTTTACATGAAATGTAGAAAAAAAAACTATTTTAGTGGTCTTACAAGCACAGCAGGCAACATTAGCTAAAGGCAGGGCGGCATCAAGAAGCGTCTGACCATAAACTAGCAAAACGTTCATAAATAATGACTGTATAATTTTTTATTTATATATTTATTTTGTATAACGATGACTGTTATGGCATAAGTATTGGTGTAATATTGATTGGCTCTAAATATAAAGTTACCTCTGGCAACTGCCTTAGGCTAAAGTCTGAAGTTTCAAATGTAATATATACTCACCAGATGCTTTATTAGGTACGATTGCTGTTACAGGGTTGGAACTCCTTTTTCCTTTAGAGTTGCCTTAATGTCTTTGTGGGAAGATTCAACATGCTGCCTAAAAAATTCATGAGAGATTCTTTTGATAGATATTGACATGATAACATCAAACAGTTACTACACTTCCATGATGTGAATCTCCCTTTCCACCACATCTCAAAGGTGCTCTATTGGACTGAGATCTGGAGACTATGGAGGCCATTTGAGTAGAGTGACCTTACTGTCATGTTCATGATGATCTGAGCCTTGTGACATTATCCTGTTAGAAGCATCCACCAGAGGTCTAGAGGAACACTGCCATAAAAGGATGAACGTCATCAGCAACAACACTCAGATGCTGTGGTGTAAATCGTGCTCATTGGTTCTGAGAAACCCAAAATACCCCATACACCATGACACCATCATAAGGTAGGTTGGATCCATGCTTTCATGTTGTTTATGTCAAATTCTGACCTTACTATCCAAATTGAATAAGAGAAATTGAGACTCAGACTATTTCCGATGTGATAAAATACTGTAAAATGCACCCACAGTTCCTCTTAAAAACTAGCTTAAGATATTTAGTTTATGAAGTAAAGCCAAAAAATCTTACTGTTGTTGGGCTGTTTGCTGTGAAACTGACAGAAACACTATATGAAGTTAAAACTATAAATATGACAAAACTAGATCAGTTTTGTTTTATTATATATTGTTTATCCACCTTCCATAACTGGAAAGCATTTTGAGTCAAGCTTTGCTGTTTTTTGGATGTGTTTGCAACAGCCTACAAAAACGTGTGACTTAACTTGAGGATAAATTTACAGAGCATTCACAGAATTCACAAGTCCAGACGCTTTTCTTTGCAAGCTCCTTTGACTACGATGACCTGGATGACTGAGAACCTTCACAGAGACATATATGGATACATCCAAAGTAACACCTGGCCTAAACACACTGTACCACGTTTACAGCATGTGCTCAGTCAAGGCACTTTTACTGAAAGCACTGCATCCCCATATCATCCTCACAGGTGTCACACTCCATCTCTCCTCTCCATCTCCTCCCTGTTCACCTAATGAACTCAGTCTATCTCTTCTCCCCCCGCTGTGGCAGGTGTCCAGCCCAACTGCTGCCTCTCCGAAGACAACGAGGCCTGATAGCAGGGAAACAGGAGTGAGCCGGCTGCATAACAAGGACTTATTATGATGATGAAATGTCCTACAAGGCCCCAAACACCCTCTTAAAGAAATCTCTCCCACTGATAAGGGGAGTCTCAGCCTCACCCCGGAGCTGTGTGGAGGTAGAGGAGAAAGTGTGTGTGTGGTGGTGCGTCCTAACCTGATTGGATCGGCGGCTCAGAGGGGGCGCACGTTACAAAATCAAATGGCCGTCAAGCCGCTGTCATGCATAATTAATTGGACCTTCCACTCCCAACTACACAAAAATCCATGGTCATTCGATTAGGGGGTTTTGGAGGACTCTCTGAAGTGCATCGCTGTCTGAGCTGCTTCCCAGCTCACCTCTCTATCAGTGAGGATTGTGTCAGCCTGCACATGTTCAGCCAGGTAAATTTTAAACTTTCAAGCCCCTAATTCAGTGTTAGGCTGTTTGTTGTAAGGGCAAGCTTATTACACAGCTCGGCAATCGAAACATTTGCTGATAGTCATTAAAATTTGTAGATGCAGAAAGCCTGCAGTTCTCAGCAGGTAAAGTTGGGGAAAAAGCCACGCTCTGTGCTGAAGGCTCAGTTTGTAGCGCAAGCAGTCAGAAGCAAGCTAACCCTGTATTCAAATCTTCCATTTTCTTTTTACTTTTAGTATATAGTCTTCTGAAGCTGCCTTTGCCTACTGTAGGGGTTTTATTTTATTTATTGTTTGTTTCTGTACAGTTATGGTTCTGGGTCAGAAAAAAGCATGCAGTAAAATGTGACCAGATGGAGCATTCCCCTGTATGAAACATTACAATTTCAGGTTCACTGGAAGCAAACAGGAAGCACTGTTAACAGGACAAATGTACTCTATAAATGTATCATTATGATTAACTTGCTGAATCAGGATTGGACTGCCAAACTGTGAGATTATTGGTGCCGCCATTAATGACCATTGGCATCTGTATGAAAAGAGAGCGTTCTCAAAGGCAGAGACCACCACTGTGGACCCAGACTGTGAATGCAACAGTATATCAGCTGATCTACTGTCATATCCATCATCACACAGGCTTTGTATTAGAAAGGTTAAAGACCCGCTAATATTTTCATTCTCACATGCACTCCTGTTGGGATAACATTTAGGAAAGTTCAGGCAGCAAAATATGCGTGAAAAAGATTCAAGTGTTTGTACTTGTTTACATTTCCCACTTCAAGCAGAGATAGGGAGCCCAATATATTTCATTTTCAGCACAATCAGTGGAAGCTTTGAGATATCTACTGACCTTTTAAGTTGGAGAGGTTTGTAATGGCCAGGCATCTTAATTTTCCTCTCTGTCTTGTACTGTCTTTACCTCGTGTTTTAATCTGACCCCCTTTTCTAGTTTTGACCATTTGCTTTTTGCTGTGAAGAATTTTGCACAACAGTTCAGAAACAGAAATCACACACTGATTAAGTGCGGGAACAAAATTTGTGTAAGATGGGACATAATAGATAAGCAAACAGAAGAAAAATCAGAACTGACTTCCTGCAGACATCGAATTTAGGACGCCATCTTTAAAAGACATCTCAAATCTTAAAATGCATCTGGAGAACAAAGTGATGAGAAGAGCTACAATCAAGGATGCATCCTCTGTGGAAGTGTGGAAAAGAGATGAGATGCACAGCTGTAAAGGCCAGCACAAAACCCTTCAACTTTTTTATCTGTATATTCTTTAATATTAAGCTACACTGTAAATTTAATTAAAAATAGATTTAAATATATAAGCACATCTGACATCTGAGGTCATATGATACATTGGTATACTTATATTTTACTGAAATCACTTTAAAATGACGGCCTCAAAGCACAAGGGCGTCTTATTTTGTTGCCTCCTTATGTCTTTTCCTCAACTCCTGCTGCTTCCATATCTCTGATGGATGGAATAAGAGTGAGGAAAGAAGGAAAGGAAGAAAGGAACTGCAAAAGTATAATCTGGGAAACGAGAAGAGGAGGATACAATATCTGCGTGTGAATGCCGCCCCCTGCTGGACATCAGTGGAACTACATCAACTGCGCACTAGAGAAAGTACACCACAGCAGGCAAATTAACTGCAGCAAGATTTTTATTCAAAAAAAGCATATATTCAGGAATTAAAGATGCATATACTTACATGTGTAAATAGATATTTAAAATACACAAAGTGGGAAAACAATGTGCTTCAGTAGCTGCAATGTCTATATGCACACTGTGCGCATACATGAAAATGTCTTTGAGGATGTGTTTTCCATGGTTTGTTAAGGAAACGTTTCCCTATTATTTTAGAGAAATTCCTTACTTTGTTTTTCTTTTTATTTCTGGGTCACATCCATTATTAAAAAAAAATAATGAAATAAAATATTCACAAGCATAACCATATCACAGCTCAAAATGGAAGACAACTCCCTTTAGCGTCTCTCGTCATCGCCAAGTCTTAATGAATTCACAAGCGATGAAACAAAAACAAAAACTTTCACTGCTGAAGCTTTTACTCCATTAACACAGCACAGACATGACTTTACCAAAGGTTCCATTACTGCAGCAACACACTGCAACTGCTCTTACACTTCATTCATTGGTTGAGGACAGGAGGCTAGGCGGGCACTTCGGTCAAGGAGTATTTGACCACATGGGATTGTGTGAAGATGCGTTTGGGTTATTTATGGCCAGTAAAGGTTTGGTGGGGGTGGGGGTCCTGTAGCAGGAAGAGGAAGTATTTTTAGAAGCAAGGGGGTCTACCTAGTTGTCTGGGTGGGGTCGTCCCTCGGGGATCAGTG